ACCTGTCAATGCAGGGGACACAGGTTCAATCCCTAATCCAGGAAGATTCCACATGCTGGGGAGCAGCTAAGCCCGTGCGCCACAACTCCTGAGCCCTTGAGCTCTAGCGAGGCCTGTGCTCTGCAATGAGAAGCCTGTGCACCACAGCGAAGAGTAATAACCCCTGCTCACCGCAACTAGAGAAGAGCCCCCGTGCAGTAATGAAGACCCAGTGCAGGCAAAAAGAAAAAAAGTTTCCTTAAAAAAAGATCAATTGCAGGGTGGAAGCTTTACACCTGTGGAATCAACACATACATGTTTACAGAAGAGAATAACATCAGATTGGGCTAACTAGGGAGTCAGAGCGGAAGGACTTTTATTTTTGGCTGCACCACATGGCTTGTGGGATCTTAGTTCTCTGACCAGGGATCAAACTTGTGCCCACAGCAGAGGAAGAGTGGAGTCTTAACCACTGGACCACCAGGGAATTCCTAATCGCTGATTTTTTATTAGAGGAGTTTTTAAAGTTGAGAGTTCTAAATAAAAGTGCTCTGATGAAAGAAAAAAAAAAGAGAAAGCAGAAGAGAGCAATGAAAATAACGTATTCACTGCAAGTTTTTTATTCTTCAACAAATGCTAAGAGCCTACCACATGCCAGGTGCTGTCTTAAATGCCATCCTAAATATAAAATATTGAAAAGCTCTGACTCCTTTTTTCTTCCTCAGTACTTATCACTGCCTGACATGCTAATGTTTTTTAATTTTTGGTTTCCATTCTTTCTCTTCCCTAAGCTTGTTTTGTTGTCTGCTGTATCTCTGGGCCCTAGAACAGTGTCAGACACTCAATTATATTCATTTAATGGTTGAATTAATGTCTTTTATTCCTGGTAACTTTGACTCATTGGTTTACTGGTCATGGGAATTTGGCTGAAATTGCCTGATGACAATCAGCTCAGGTTGCTGGTAAGAAACTCCATTTTTCTTCCTAGCCCCGTCATTCCATTAGAATGGTTTGGGAGTAGGCAAAACTGGTGCCACCTTGTCTGTGCAAAGGTGTATGAGCAGATACTGCTTTTGTCTGGGGATAGTCACACTGTTTATGTAGGTGTGATGTTAACAGCCCTTGGCGTTGCCAGGTGTTAACCCAATTAGCAATTATCAGTGTTGTGCTAGGCTGTTCCGTGGAGGCGGCTGTCACTCTGGGGTGTGGGTAGGGACCATGAAGGGGCTGGGGTAGGGGACGGGGCTGACAGTGAAGACCAGAGCTCAGAGGAGTGTAGGCTCTAAAGCCAGGAAGCCCAGGAGGCTACAGACAGTTCTGGAACGGGAGGAATCTGCTATTCAGGTAGGCTTCTGGGGAAGAAATGGGGCAGCCCCAAGAAATTCATGGGCACAGCAGGATCTCAGGTTCTATCAACAGGGGAAAGAGACTCTGGCAACATCAGTTCGTCCCCCTGGATGAGGACAAGGGTAGCTTTCCCTCCAGCTACCAGTAACGGGGCAGCACCCTGGCAGGAAGGCCTTTTGCTGGCTCAATCTAAATTGTCCTCATTTTTCACACCTGCAAGAGCCCTTTTCAAGGCCCTCAGAGGGGGGACCCTACCTTCCCCCTGCCCTGCCCCAGCTAGGGCAGAAGCAGGCTGCATTTTCAGACACACCACGGAAGGGAAAGAACGGCAAGGAGGTTTGGAACCTAAACCCCTCATAGCAAATTCTCAGCATACCCATGTCCTGCCTTTCTGTTGACTTAACAGCCAAATTCTGATGGAAGCACTGATTGGGAACCTGAGTTGCTTTGGATAATTGGTGAGCTCCGTTTGCTCAAGAAGCTACTGAAGATGCAATAAAAGTAACAAATGGAATTTTCTTTTCCCTTTGGCACAGGGATACCCTAGGCTGAACTGTTGATGGCTGGCTGGGTCAAGGGTTAGGGACCCACCAGAAGTGGGAATTCAAAAAAGTTATTTAAAAAAATATTTATTTATTTGGCTGCATCAGGTCTTTTGCTGCATTCAAACTCAGTTGTGACATGTGGTATCTAGTTCCCTGACCAGGGATCAAACCCAGGCCCTCTGCATTGGGAACAGAGAGTCTTATCCACTGGACGACTAGGGAGGTCCCTAAAAAAATATTTTATTGAAGTATAGTTGATTTACAATGTTGTATTAATTTCTGCAGTACAGAAAAGTGATTCAGTTATTTCTCTCTCTCTCTATATATATAATACATACATTCAGTTTCATAGTCTTTATGAAACCATTATGGCTTATCACAGGATATTGGGTATAGTTTTCTGTGTTATACAATAGGACCTTGTTGTTTATCTGTTCTGTATATATATGCAGTTTGCATCTGCTAATCCCAAACTCCTGCCCCCACCTTTCCTCCCCCTTGACAACCACAAGTCTATTCTGTACATCTGTGAGTTTGTTTCTGTTTTGCAGATAAATTCATTTGTGTCATATTTCAAATTCCAGATATAAATGATATGTCTCTTTCTTCATTTAGTATGATAATCTCTAGGTCCATCCATGTTGCTGTAAATGGAATTATTTCATTCTTTTTATGGCTGAGTAATATTCCATTGTATGTGTGCCTGCATAAATCTATATATAGATATATCTCTATATATCTAGATTATATCTAGATATCTATCTCTACATATCTAGATATCTAGATATATATATACCACACCTTCTTTATCCATTCATCTATTGATAGACATTTAGGTTGTTTCCATGTCTTGACTATTGTCAAGTGCTGTTAGGAACACAGGGGTGCACAGAAGTAGGCATTTTTGGCTGTGCTGGGTTTTCATTGCTACACATGGGCTTTCTCTAGCTGCAGCTAGCAGGGGCTACTCTCCAGTTGCAGTGCATGGTCTTACTGCCTTGGCTTCTCTTGTGGAGTACCACCTCTAGGGCATGAGGGCTTCAGAAGTTGCCCTGCAGCATGTAGCACAGGGAACAGACCTGTGCCTCCTGCATTGGCAGGTGGATTCTTAACCACTGGATCACCAGGGAAGCCCTGAAGTGGGCATTTTTGAATCAGACATAGACTGGTTGTTATTCCTTATCTTGGAAGGGGAAATTTACCATCTGGGTCCAGGCTGGGTGGGAGGGGCAGTGGCCTTGGAAGATGATGCCAACACTTTCTGCAGGGCCTGGCCTGCCATTAGGTGACTCAGTGTGTTTCCCAGGACTTCAGCCAGGGACCAGAGTTGCAGCCTTTATTTTTTCCTCTTGGGGTGGGACTGGTCTGTCTTGGCACCAGATCTGCAGGAAGGCCTCCCTGCTTACTCACCTCTGGGGCTCTGCTTTCCTGGCTGGGGCTGTGTTCTGGAGGATGAGATCATAGGCTTCTAAAATGTCCCAGGTCACTGGGCGTGGACCGAGACCTGAGGGTTTAAACCTCAGCTCCCCTCGGTCTCAGTTTTCCCACATATAAAATGGATGTAATAATTTCAGTCTCACAGGCTGCTTGTGAGATGTATGTAAAGCTTTCAGCACAGTTCTCTAGCCCAATAAACGGTAGTTATTAATAGCCCTCTTTTTTTTTTTTTGGGCTGTGCCACATGGCATGTGGGATCTTAGTTCTCTGAGCAGGGACTGAACCCATGCCCCTCAAGTGGAAGGGCAGGGTCTTACCCAGTGAACCGCTAAGAAGTCCCAATAACCCCCCTTCTTTAGTGGCAGTGCAGTAGTGGTTAACAGTCTGGTTTCTAGAGTTAGACAATCCAGACTAGGTGGGTTTGAACCTTGAGTCCTCTTTTTATCTAGCTGAGTGACCTTGGGCAATTTCATCTTGCTGAATCTCTATTTCCTCTTGGTAAACTGGAAATAATAACAGTACCTATATCATGGAGTCATTGTTAAGAATTAAACTATGCAAGCCAAGCATTTAGCACAAGTGCCAGTACACACAAATGGTACAACAAAAGCGAACTAGTCTTATTGTTATCATGAGTTTTTCAGAATCTAGTTCAAGGTGTCAGCTTTCCCACAACCCCATTAATTATTTCTTCGATTTTCACTGACTTGGATACCTCTTAGAATCTATCTTGCACTGTTCCTGTTTATGTCCATGCCCACAAAAATATAACTGAACCTCTCAGGCTCACCTTGTTCTCACCTTGAAATCTGTCTTACCTATCACTGTGTCCAAAAACCTCATATATCTAATCCCAAGAGCGCTGACATCACGGAGAATTATGTTGTACATTACACAGCAAAAAGTTCCAAAAATTGTTTTTAAAAACAGCTCTATTCAAGTTTCCCCTCCCTAAGCAGATATCCATCATTCTCCTTCTGAGCTGGTTCGTTTCTTCTCTCTTCCTTCTCCAAGTCTCCTGGGGGGAATATGTATAAATGAAATGGACTCCATTAGTTGGAGGTCCTAAGGGAATGAACACACACACACACACACACACACACATTTACAGAAATATACACTTAGGTATATAAAATATACAAGTGGAAATATGTGTATTTCCTTGGTGCCCTGAACGAATCCAGTCAACAAATATCTGAACGCCCACGTTGTGCCTGGCACCAAGCTATCTTCTGGGAGACAAAAGGAGCGAGGTTCCGATTCTCATGGAACTTACGTTTTCCTGGAGGAAGACAAGAAGTAGTATAAAATTTCAGCTAGCGGGATTGCTGTAAAAACAACACTGGTCTTTGTCAGCTGATGGGGACTAGGATACGCCTGGTATTCTACTGGGTGGTGGAGGTGACTCGGAGGTGAAATCTTATTATATATTGGAACACTGAAACAGTCACTTGCAGGACTCGGTTGGTGGCTGAAGACGGGGAGGCAGGTTCTCACCCACGGTGATGCCACTTTCCCGAACTCGGAGCCTTTCCGGGATACCGCGAAGGTCGCAAACTCACCTGCGCAGAAGGCCGCCGCCTGCTTGACGTCAGCGCGTCGGGCCTGGCCCGGCCCCCTGTGACGCCATTCTCCCGACAGCCCCGCCCAGGCCGCCCCCACGCTTGCGCGCATGCTCAGAACCCCGCCCCCGTGCGTCACAGAATGGCCTCGGACACCCAGGCAGTCCCTGACGTGTCGGGGAGGAGCCGGGCGCGGAGGTACGCGGAGTGGAGCTCAAGGCTGCGGAGGGGAGCGGAAAACGGCTGGGCGGGCCTGGCCTGGCCAGTAGAGCGGAGACGTTGGTCGAGCGGCGGCGAACATGCGCTTTTGACACATTGGAGGTGAGTCTGCGGTGCGAGGCCGCTCCGGAGGGCGCCGGGCCGAGCCGGCGACGCCTAGGCCTGTCTCCGGGGAGCCTGCCAGCCCGGAGGCTGTGTCCGAGGCCGGGCCAGGCCTGGGTTCTGGGGCGGCCAGTCCGGGGGTAACTGTTCCAACCGCTCTAACTGCCCCTTCCACGCCCTGGTCCGAGGTGTGGCCCACCGGGGGCGCCTGGAAGGAAGCGAGCCGGGCGGTCTCGGGAGGATGTGCCCGCGTCCGGGGGAGGGGTGAGGGATGGCGGGGCCGGACGCCGGGACGTGGCACAGTGGGCCCAGGCGCTGGTGGCGCAAGGAGCGGCTCCGTTGAAGGTGGCAGCGGTGAGCCCAACCCGCCCCCTTCCCCCATCCCTTCAGCTGGGAAGGTGGTACGGAGCCGGGTTGGATTTTGAACTCTCCTGGCCTCTCTCCCGCGGGGGGCGAGGGCAGAAGCTGCTCACCTTGAGCTCGGGTGGCATTCCCATGACTGTCCGCCTTTAACTGCGGACACTCTGGAGTTCAGAAAAGTGTCACCAAACGGGTTCGGACTGCTTGTGGCCCCCCCCCCGGTTGGTAAGCAACAAAGTAATCTTAAGTTTTGCTGAGGAATTGAGGATTCTTTCAGTGCTGATAATTTCATTACGTTTCTGTAGCGCCTTCACGGAACACTCTTGCTCTCTCCTTTTTTAACCTCGTCACCTAGTTAGTGGTTGTGCCTGGTTCTCATATCGCCATTTGACGGATGGGGGAATTGAGAACAGGTGGGGTGGGGGCTTAAGTGATTTCTACTGTGGACTCTCCCAACCCGTGAGGGGCTTCACGTGGTTCAGGATTTACGATTCCTGGCTTGGAGTTCTGGTTTCTTTTAGTGGGATTTTCCTACCTTTCTCAGGTAGAAAGCAAAGTAGAAAATCTGGCTTGCTAAAAATATACCAGAAGCTAGTAGATTTATTCAAATATTTTTGAGCAGACCCACCTAGGATAAGAACTGCTACTTAGTTATAAGAGAAATTCTATGCTGGAACTTGTACATGGTTGCTGGCTAATTATTTTGTCCCATGAGTTGTGTTGCTTTTAATCGGTTTATGAAATAGGGCACTGGCTTTACTAAATCATGAAGTTGGTGAAGCAAAATGCAGCATTAGGTCATGTGTTGAGAATCCAAGGGAACTAAGATACCTCTTCTGAATCTTTATTAAAGTTGAAAAGATCAGAAGGAACAGCAACAACAAAAAAACCTTTGGCTAGTCCTAGTTGCAAGTTGACCTGGCCCAGATAGAAATCTTAGGAAGCATTTGTTTTTTAGTTTTGTTTCGGCTTTTTAAATTAAATCGAAATTGGATGAGGAACACTTAAAATAAGTAGAAACCTCAGTAAAAACTTAAGAGCTTGCTTTCATGACATCTCCAAAACTTATTTTTATTTGCATCTTAAGTCATGCTGGGATAAATTTGGTCACTGAAGCTTAAAATTATTTCTGACATAAGTTTCTGAGCAGTTCATGAGGTAGAAAAAGAAGTTTGATAGTCAGGACCAAAAGGAGGACCGTATTTATGATTGACTTCAGAGTTTAAAATTCTGTAATTGTCACCTTTGGGAGTAGAAGAATTTTGGTAAAAAAGTATTGATTATCTGTGGTAAGTTCCAGAATAACTCTAACAGTCTCACTAGTTGATTCTATAACTATTAACAAAGAGGTGATATCATATAAAATGGACTTTCTTAGTATTGTGCAAAGATAGTTTCTTTGTAAATATAGCATTTAAGACAGGCAGTTTTGTGTACAGTTGCTAGGTATCTGAAGGTCACACCCAGTGTGATAACGCTCCATGTAAAAGTTGTCATCATTTTGGGATTCACAGTCCATCCCTGTGAGACAGGATATTGAGAGAAAATTTGGGTAGTGGGGAAGAGTATGTAGTTATCTACCTTCATTTCAGCTTCAGGAGATTACAAATGTATCATTAAAGCAGTTTTTTTGGTAGCAGTGTAGTTTTCTGTATTGGCTAATTTTCTGTGGCCTAATATCTCTAGTTACATAGTTTCAAATAACACAATGAACACATCTTCCTGCTCTAACTTGAAGCAAAGTGAACAGATTGTCTTTATAGCCCCTGAGAAAGTCTTTTGAATGTCTGCAGTGGTGGCAAATTTTTATTTGTGAAAAACCCAGTTTTTGGAAAGGATAAGTCTGATGAATAAAATTAGAGTGATAAAGCTGGGTAATACCAATTAGGAAGCAGTAGAAATGAGATGTGACCACAAAGGAAGGGTTTTCTGTTTATTTTTTAATCTGGCTCTTCATGGCTGTTCCAAAAGAGATTTTCGAGATGTTTTCAGTAATGGTGGTGTAAGTGAAATATGCACAGAACTTCTGGAGGTGATTAATTTTAAGGAATCTTTTATTTTTTTATTTCAAATAAAAATTTTTTATTATTTATCGTCTATACTATCTGCTTATACCACACTACCTTTTTTTTAAATCTTTTTTTTTTCCATTTATTTTTATTAGTTTGAGGCTAATTACTTTACACAGGATCGTTGATTTTAAATTCTGAAGCATTGTGGTTATGTTATACTTCACAGGCCTGCAACTGAATGACCAGTTTTTAAGAATAATGAAATTTATGCTGTGTTTACTGTGTATCAGACTCTCGTACTGAGTACTTGCAAATATTAACTCAATCTTCTTTACAACCCTATTTTAATTATTATCCCCATTTTACAGGTGAGGGAATGGGTCACTGAGTGGGTTAAGTAAATTGCTCAAGGTCGTGAGTAGAGGACGGTGACTGAAATGTGGGCAGTTTGGCTCCAGAGTCTGGTCTCCTAACTGCAAGTCCAGTTAAGAGTCCAGACTGAGCTGCTCCTACCACCTGTTACCCTCTTAAGTGTTTTTAATTGGCTTGTTCTGGAAAAGTTGGTCCTTTAGTAAAAGGCTTCTGGCGTAGATTGTTTGAGGGACCAATAAATGAGTTCTAAAAGTAGTCTGTTAATCAGAAAAAATGTAGTCAATATTCAGTTCACATAAGATTCAGCAAAAAAAAAAAAACAAAAAACCCCAAAACAGAAGCCTGTGTGGAATAAAAACACATTAAAATAATTTTGCTAGAGTCATTTGACTTTGAGCTAAGTAGTTAGACAAGGAGGATATGAGAAATAGAACTAGAAGCTAAAGAAATTTTACAGGAAAGACTATTTAAAACCTGAGTTGCCAGGGGACACTGATGGAAAAATTGGTAGTTGTATTAATATGGCCCTATTTGAGAACCAGAAAACCAGGGACAAATGGATACCTTATAGTATATACCCACAGGTGTAAACAGTGAGATTCCTCAGGGAACCTTTCTTAACAGCCTTCTGATACTGTATAAATGGGTCAACAACAAAAAGCTCATACAGAAAAGTCTGAAACTGGCATGTGAATGATAACATTTGTAGATAAAAGCAAGTCTAACCGTATTTGTAGAAGGGTTGGCTCCACATTCAGATACATTCAAGTAAATACTAAATGGGCTTCCCTGTTGGGTCAAATGGTAAAGAGTCTGCCTGCAATGCGGGAGATCCGAGTTCGATCCGGGTCGGGAAGATCCCTTGGAGAAGGGCATGGCAACCCACTCCAGTATTCTTGCCTGGAAAATCCAATGGATGGAGGAAACTGGTGGGCTCCAATTCATGGGGTTGAAAAGAGTCAAGACACGACTGAGCAACTGACACACTCAAATGTTAGATGCCAAGGAAGGCATCTAGTAATCCTTAGGGACTTCGATAAGGACACTTGCACATGGTCAGCAGAATCAAACGCTGCATGCTAACAGAGGGAGTGCTGGAAACTTTAAAGTATCCTACCCATGAATAAAATGATATGCTGAAGTAGCAGCAGTTCCTCACCTTCAGAAAGGCATATATGTAACCCAGAGAAGGTCTAAATCATGACAACAAAAATATTTAAGGGACTGAGATGGTTATCAAGTGAACATAAAGCTAAGAAGACATCTGGGCTGAGTGACTCTCTGGGTGCAATGGACTAGGCTTCATCTTGGGTGGATTCTTTGCAGTCCTGGGTTGGAGCCACTGTTTCCTGCACCCTGTGCCATCCAGTTCTTCGTTTTCTCTCTTCTTTAGTAGCTGTGTCAACACTCCTCTAACCCTCCTGAGGTGTTGTATGAGAAAAAAGTAGTTCTTTCCTGAATTATCTGTTTCCTCTAGGTTCCGTAGGTCCTTGGATTTTCTTACACTACTGGCTTTTCTCATTTGTTGGGTGGTTCTTGGTTGTCCGTATATATTTAAGAATTTAGGGCTGAGGGACTTCCTTGTTGGTCCAGAGGCTAGTACTCTACACTCCTAATGCAGGGGTTCCAGAAGTTTCGATCCCTGGGTTGGGAACTGGATCTCACATGCTGCAACTAAGATTGAAGATCCTGCAGGCTGCAGTTAAGACCCAAACAAAGATTTTTAAAGAAAGAAAGAAGGGCTAGACAATGATTATTTTAGATAGCTAGTATGCAGGGTATCTCTAAGGCTTTCCCCAGTAAGCTCCATCAGCTCCCTGTTCTGTGAGGTGGAGCATATATTGAGCTTTATAAGTGGCTGTGAATGTGGCTTGGCATGCCTCAGACTGATAATTTTGTCTAGCTGAGAATGGTAGGTTTTATAATCCTGGTAAAATACTTGGTGGTGTGTTATGAGGTAGAAATAAACTACCCTTACATTTCTGAAATAGAAATTTCAATATTAATAAAGGAAAGCAGTACTTTGGGAGCAAAGAGGGAATAAGTAAAAAAGCTTGTAAGTCAGATTCAGATACCGAATTTCTACCGTGTTTCATGTTTCTGGTGATGCAGAAGGGATTTATAAGTAAAACACAGGTCCTGCCCTCTCAGAAACTCTGCAACCCCACGGACTGCAGCACGCCAGGCTTCCTTGTCTTTCACGTCTCATGCTCAAACTCATGTCCATTGAATCGGTGATGCCATCCAACCATCTCATTGTCTGTTGCCCCTTTCTCCTGCCCTCAATGTTTCCCAGCATCAGGGTCTTTTATTTAAGTTAATTGGAAGATTGACCAACATGCCAAAAGTAATAATGGACAATGTGGTCAGGAAAGACTTAACTAAAACCAGTTTGAAAAAATTGCAGTAGGCTGCAGAGGCATTACACTGAATGTATATAGTTACATTTTAATTCTATTCAACTAAAAGCCATTCTCTTTTGTATACCTCTTCAAGTTGAAGTTGTATATGTGCTCTTGTCTGTGTCTTTTCTAAACATTCATGAGTAGTGGGTTGTGCTAGGTGAATTCTACATTCTCTACAACTCCCAAGTTTTATTAGTTTACTTTTAAAGCTGGCCTTGAATTCTCGCTACCCAGTTTGGATTAGGTTGAATCAATTTTGGTTTAATTTAATAATATTATTGAGTATCAGCTATAGTACAGGCAGTGTGCTGGGGTTGAAATCAGTAAGACTAATACACAACCTAACAGGGGACACAGAGATGTAAGCAAATGTATTACTATGTGTTAAGTGTATTCATGCAATCTTATGCATAGAGGTAGCCAAGATGGTGGGAGATTTTGGTGCTCTATGGGTGAGGACAGGAAATGCTTTCTGGAAAAGATGACAGCTGGGTTTTAAAGGATAAATAGGAGCTTTCCAAATGCACAAGGAAGGAGAGCCATTCCAGGTAGGGAAAATACCCAGACCGAAGCAGAACGGTGCATTAGGGCAGTTTTGAACAGTATTGCTGGAATATAAAGTAAAGGAAGTAAGACTGAAACACTTCAGCATGAATCTGGGACAAGCCCAGCATCTTTGGTATTCTATTTGGCTTGACAATCAATTGGGAACTTTAGATAGTCAGTCCAAATGCAAGGTGTTAATGACTAAACAGATACTTTTTCACCCACTCTGAATGCGTTGGAAGAAGAACCGAGATGAAACAGCATTGAAATTCCAGGATTAGTGGACTTTAATGGAGGAAGCTTGGGACTTAACTTTTAGAAATGTAATGATTTAAATTATTGGGAATGTGCTTGATATCCTGGCAAAGTCACCTGGCATAAAATGTTTCAAGCAGGTGTTTTGAAGCAGTTGTATCAATACTACAGAGAAGGACATGCAGGTAATAGCAGCTCTGGTAATAAGCTTGTTTTCTGTCACCTGATTCCCAGAAGATCAGTTAACTGTAAACCAGCTGCAGGTGGGTCTGTGGGGCCAACCCCAAAACCTAGTGCTGCCACCAGAAGTGCTTCCCCTGGCTTCTATGACCTTGTTCATCTCCTCTCCTGAGCCTGTCCATGATGGTGGTGGTCCCTGCAAGTGGGGCAGCCAAGTGATTTATGTGCCTGAGTTTATTGTAGTAGAGTGTTAACCCCTCAGAGTCTTTCATGTTTGGCTCCCTCCAAAATGCTGCAGATTGAATGTTGTCCCAGGTTTTATCCTTTTACTAAGATTCCTATGTTCTATCTTAATTTATTTTCCTCTTTAACATTTCTCAGGCTTTCTTGATCATGGATGGTGAAGATATACCAGATTTTTCAAGTTTGAAGGAGGAAACTGCTTATTGGAAGGAACTTTCCTTGAAGTATAAACAAAGGTAATGCCAGAAAGCATCCTGGAAATAGAAGAGGGCTTTGGAATACATAATCTCTAACTTTTTGTGCTTTTTTTTGTTTGTTTTAACAAAGCTAAATTTAGAGTTTCCAGTATAGGATTGGGATTCTAGAAATAGTCATAACAAAATAACATTGCTTGTATTTAAGGAAGATAAAGTGCCATAAAACCTTACATTACTTGAATTATTAAAATAGTAAGAAAACAGTGTCATTTATGATTTCTTCTGGTAGCTTACTTCCTTTTAGAAAGACTATTTCTGCTCTTGGCTATCTTTGGCTTGCTGGGTGTGCACTGATTGTGCCTCCTCATTTTGGTCTTTTAGAGATTCTAATAAGCTCTCTGGGACTCCATAGGGCAAACTCTCTTTGGGCAGGCGTTATCAGTGTCTGGAGCCAGCAAAGCTTTGAGGGAGGGACAAGAGCTTCTGGGTATATGGAGTATTTTAGAAAATCTCAATTATTTCATTTATTTGAGAGAACTTTTAGGTAACCTTTTAAGTAGAAAGCTTAAATTTCTTTTAAAAATCTTTTTAAAGTATATATACATCTTCCTACTTTGGTTAGCAGTTTACTAAGACTTAGTAAACCTTTTATTGCTATTTCATTGTTGTTGCTGAAGCCAGTTATTGTATCATGCTAGTTATATGGAAGGTGTGTCTATGGCAAGAGTTCATAGTCCTTTTTTTTTTTTTTGTGCCATAGATACCTTCATAGGCTGGGAAAGTCTATGGAACCCTTCTCAGAATAACATTTTTAATGCATAAAATTAAATAGAATTACAGAGGAAACCAATTATATTGGAAAAAACACATCTAAATGTTAAAACTGATTTGTGGGTAGTGATATGTGCTTCTTTGTCAATATGTTAAATAAGAAAGGGGTGAGTGTATAAAACGTGAATCCTTTTGCGGCTTTTGGCTTACTTTCATTGAACCCTGAATATATAGAGTAAGAGATGCAAAATAGATTGCCTTTATTGTTTAGTATATTTTATGGTAGCATAAAACTCAGGTGAAAATCTTTGGATTGATATATAATCATCTTCAGGATGATCCTTACGGTTTCTACTATAACTGATCTTTCCCACTTTGTTTCTGATTAGCTTCCAGGAAGCTCGGGATGAGCTAGTTGAATTCCAGGAAGGAAGCAGAGAGTTAGAGGCAGAGTTGGAGGCACAATTAGTACAGGCTGAACAAAGAAATAGAGACTTGCAAGCTGATAACCAAAGACTGAAGTACGAAGTAGAAGCATTGAAGGTAATTGTGGCAGTATAAGCTGGTGTCTCTTTGGCTGGGTTTTGTTAAAGTTCTTACATTAGTTCTACCTGTACATTCTTACAGGTAGAGCTTAAGAGCAGCAGGCAACATAAAAATGTAAAAAGGCCTAAAATGAATTTTTGACATAAACTGTTTGTTTTCATGGAACCAAGGCAAAGGTGTTTTAGAGTTCAGAAGTTCACCTCAGAACCCTGTAGCTGTCAATTTTTTTTGGCTATAATGTTCCTAGCTCTATAATATTATGTTGTAGTTCTATAATTTTCAAAAGCTGCCTGGAAAAAAAAGGCTGCCTGATTATTTGCTATGATAGCGTGCCTCATTCTGTAGTACTTTAAAATTATCTTTGAATGACACATACATTTATTTCATTATGGTTTATGGTCACTTTAGTTTTGGAGTTTAATTTTTAAAAATTCCCTTCTAACAAGGAATTTTCAGGAGTAGAAAAGTTAATCTCTCTTGCTGTTGTTCATCACATGCCTAAGCCAAATGTTTGGGGTGTTCCTGTGTCTGGGCAGGGGGTAGGTTTAGAGAAGGTGAGATTGGGCAGGCAAGGTGTAAGAAATTTGAACCCTGTCACTCAACTGCTTTATGTTTACCCTGGGCTGCATTCAGCCTGAGAACCCGGAGGTTTTTAAGGCCACAATTTTACTACTTTACCTCTTTTCAGAGAGACCATTATTAAATTTCTTTAAGAGAAGTGATTGACTAATGTGAATTAAAGCACTGGAAATGAATGTGTCATTTTAACATTGTAAAAAGGAAAAAAGAGTACTATCAGATTGTGGGTGAATTTTTTGGATCCTTCCCCAACCTGCCTCTTGTTTGGGTTACATCCTTTATTAAAGAAAACTATATGCTAATGACACATTCTTTCCTTCTATACCCGCACCTTCAGGAGAAGCTAGAACATCAATATGCACAGAGCTACAAGCAGGTCTCAGTATTAGAAGATGATTTAAGTCAGACTCGGGCCATTAAGGAGCAATTACATAAGTATGTAAGAGAGCTGGAACAGGCTAATGATGACCTGGAGCGAGCAAAAAGGTAAGTGAATGATGTGCATGTTGTTAGAATAACTGAAATTGGCAATCTGTGATTAAAAAGTTATTTTAGATACAACCAGCTACCTAAATCTTAGTACCAGAACAACTCCTTTTGGTATTTCAAGTCACCTGTAAGTCATCACATTGAAACTTACCAAAAATCCTCATCTCCCTAGATAATGCCCTTCCGGGTTTTTCTTTCCATTTTTCCTTCTTTCATGTACCATTGTGGATCCTGTTGGTTTTTCTTTAAAAGGTCTCATTCATTCCTCCGTCTTCCCTGTGTTCTCAATACTATGACACTTTTTGAAGGTCCTCATGTTGTATACCTGAATCCTGCAGTTGTTTCCTAACTGATCTGTCCTTAAGTTTTCACTTCTTTTCTCTTCTGTTTTAATACTTACCAATGAATTTTTTTGAAATAATGCTTTTATTACGATTTTGCTGAACAGCCTATAGGAGCTTGCCATTACTTTGCCAATATTTCATATATCTATTATTGTTTCTTAACCATCCCAAATGTAATTTGTATTACTTTACAATCATTGTCTGAGATTTCTTTCCTTAATATTTGAGTAACTCTGAAATGCTTGGCATGATGCTAGAGTTGAGGATACAAAGATAAGCTTGCCACTGCCCTTGGGCATGATAGGTATGGACAGTCCATGTGATAGCCCTGGTATTAATACAAAGAACATACAAGCTGCTCAACTACCCTTTGGTAACTGGGGAAGCTGGGTCTGCGAGGAGTAGATGTTAACTGATGAAGAGAGAGATTGGAAGTCAGAGAGGCAGAAAAAGGGCATAAGGTGTTAATATTTTACTTTAACTAAAGTGCATAAAGACAGTGTGGCTGAACAAGATAAGACTGGAAGGTGTTTGGGGCCAGGTTGCAGAGAACCCTGTGCTTGGCTATGTTTGAAAGTCATTCTGTAAGCAAAGAGACACTCTTAAGAGTTTTTTTAAACAAAGAAGTGTTACCAGATTGCAATTTGAAAGATATTACTGAGAAATTAGAAGTAGGGAAGAAAAGATGTGAAGACCATTTTGGAGTAACCCAGATGATGTTTTGGCTTGTTAGTAGCTCAGTTGTGTCCGACTTTGCAACCCCATGGACTATAGCCCACCAGGCTCCTCTGTCCATGGAATTCTCCAGGCAAGAATACTGGAGTGGGTAGCCATTCCCTTCTCCGGGGATCTTCCCAACCCAGGGATCGAACCTGGGTCTCCTGCATTACAGGCAAATTCTTTACTGTCTGAGCCACCAGGAATGGGTGAAGAATTAAGTCTGGGGCAGGAGATTGGAGGAGAGCAAGTGGAGCTGAGAGACAGTTGACAGAAAATTGGACATGGCATTGAGAGTTCTAACTTGAAGTTAGGAAATTTTAATTCTGTAGCAGATAGCACATAGTGGATAGAGGGCACATAGTAGGTACCTGTCAGTGTTTGCTGAATAAATGAGAAATGCAGGAAGTCGAAAAGGGTTGATAGGAAGAAAGTAGGTAGGGGGGACCTGGGACTGTGTTTTAAACAAATTCTTAGTACATTTTTACATATTCTTACATATTCTGGAACCACTGAACAGTTTTCTTCCTGAAAATGTGTAAACTTCATTGAAACATGTTTAAAATCCAGTGGGGAGATATAACGTGTATAATAAGTAGCCTGCCTTTAAGAGACTTGAAGGAATTTAGATAGGAATATAAATGAAAAGAATATATTGAATGGCCAAATTATAATAGAGACAGTAAATGCACCAGAGGTCAGAAGGGGTGAGATCATTTTCTTTCAGCTGGGCCAGGCTTTCTAGGTCAGGAAATAGCATGAGATAAACTGACAGTTTCCTTTTGTAGTAGCTAGTTGCACATTATTTGTTTAATTCATGGACTCTAATTTTTTTTTTAGGGCAACAATAGTTTCACTGGAAGACTTTGAACAAAGGCTAAATCAAGCCATTGAACGAAATGCATTTTTAGAAAGTGAACTTGATGAAAAGGAATCTTTGTTGGTCTCTGTACAGAGGTTGAAGGATGAAGCAAGAGGTAAAATTTATAACTTAAAATATATTTATTACTTACTGTCCAGAGTGCTTAGCTCTGACAGATAAGTGCTTAGCTTAGCCAGAGTGCTAAGCTTGCTTCAGGATCAACTTTTTAAAGCTGTTTATGTACATGCTTTGGTCAGACACTATGCCAAGTACTTTTAGTCTGTTAATAGCTATATCATCAACTCTAGGAGGTAGGTGGTATTATACCCATTTTATAGGTTAGAAAACTGAGGCATAGCAAGTTTGGGTTTTGTCCAAGGTCTTTTAGCTTGTCAGTTGGGATTCAGACCTGGTCTGTTTCCCAAAATCTTAATCATCACCACTGTGCAGATACTGCTTGGTTTTATTTGGAGTTTTTCCTTTTTGTTGTACCTAAATAATTTTGTGGAAAAAAAAAAATTTGTATTAGGCACATAATAGCATTATATATGTGTGCATATTGCAGTATCAGTTCAGCTCAGTCGTGTCCACCTCCTCGTGACGCCATGGACTTCTGCACTCCAGGCTTCCCTGTCCATCACCAACTCCCATAGCTTACTCAAACTCATGTCCATTGAGTCGGTGATGCCATCCAACCATCTCATCCTCTGTCATCCCCTTCTTCTCCTGTCTTCAATCTTTCCCAGTATCAGAGTCTTTTCCAGTGAGTCAGTTCTTTGCATCAGGTGGACAAAGTATTGGAGCTAATCTTACAATGAATATTCAGGACTGATTTCCTATAGGATGGACTGGTTGGATCTCCTTGCTGTCCACGGGACTCTCAAGAGTTTTCTCTAACACCACAGTTAAAAAAGTATCAATTCTTCAGTGTATATTGCAGTATACATGTGTATAATACATATAGTGAATATATACTTTCTTTTAAAATTTTCTTCCCTCCCTCTTTTTTTCTTTTATGCATGTTAGAGTGCAGAGCATTGTAAAGAAGAAACTAAAAGTCACTCTTTATCTCTTTATCTTGAGAGAATTCACCAGGAGTTTGGTGTCTTTCCAGTCTTTCTATAACTATACATAAGCATACCCATTTGTTTTTTTTCTTTATATAGTTGAACCATGTTTTATGTATTTTTTCTATCTTTTTTTTTTAACTCCTTAATGGGTCCTTTGTTATTGGAATTTACATTTTTGCTATACATAGTGCTGTAAATAGGGTCTTTATACATAATATTTGGGGGTATCTTTGATTTTCTTAGACTAGATTCTTAGAAATAGCACAGAATATAAGTGTCTTTAATGGTTGTAACAGATGCTGCTAAATTACTTTTTAGGTAAATTGGTACCTTTACACTTTGGTAGTGATTGAGGGTCCTCTCAGTCTTCCTCACTGTTTATTAGTATTGTGAATAATAAAAATAAATTTTAAAATTATTTAAAAACCTGTTTGAAAATTGATACTGTATTGTTTTTATTTATTTTTAAATTAAAAAAATTTTTTTGTTGTGTGGTGTTAGTTCCCCAACAGGGATTGAACCCCAGCCCTTGATAGTGAAAGTGAGGAGTCCTAACAACTGGACCACCAGGGAATTCCCAATATCACATTGCTTTTTTTTTTTTTAAAGTTTTTAAAATTTCATTTATTATTTTAAACTTTTTATTTTGTACTGAGGTTTAGCTAAATAACAATGTGATAGTTTCACATGAACAGCAAAGGGACTCAGCCATACAATACATATATCCGTTCTCCCCCAAACCCACCTCCCATCCAGGCTGCCACATAACACTGAGCAAAGTTCCATGTACTCTACAATAGGTTATTGTTGATTATCCTTTTTAAATATAGCAGTGTGTACATGCCTATCTCAAACTTCTTGTCTAATATCACCTTGCTTTTAATTTGTAGTTTTTTGGTTGGTACTTGTGGAAACTTTTTGTCTGTTTTTATTAGGTCTTTTAAAAATTGTTTTTCCAGGAATTCTCTGGCAGACCAGTGGTTAGCACTCAGGTCTCACTGCTAGAGGCCTAGGTTTGATCCCAGGTCAGGGTACTAAGATCCCGCAAACTGTGCGGTCAAAAAAAATTTTCTTCATGGCTTCCTTTTTTGGGGGAGGCTTTATTCATTTGAAGAACTCATGATTTATATAATGTATAAAATATTAACTTTATCCTATTCTAAAATTTACAATTGTGGTTAAAAGTAACATAAAATTTATCATCTTAATGATTTTTAAGGGTACAAGTTAGTAACGTTAACTATATTCACATTGTTTTGTAGACCTCTAGAACTTTTTCATCTTGTAGTATTGAAACTCTTTGCCTATTGGACAACAAATCCCCATTTCTCCCTTCCCCAGCCCTGACAACTGCATTTCTACTTTCTGTTGTTATGTGCAACTACAGTAGTCCCCCCTTATCTGTGGTTTTGCTTTCCATGGTTTCAGTAATCCATGGTCAGCTGCAGTCTGCAAATATTAAATGGAAAATTCCAGAAATAAGTGATACATAACTTTTAAATTGTGCACCATTCTGAGTAACAGGGTGATGTTTTTTGCTGTCTCGTTCACTGAATCATCCACTGGGGATCTTGGCACACACCCTCCTCAGATAAGGGAGAGCTGCTACATTTTAGATGCATTATATACGTGGAATCATACAGCTACCAAGTATTATTGCTATTGGTCAGTTGCATTACAGGAAAAGAGAACATTAATTTTGGGTTAAAAATTCAATATTTGAAAAACAGCAGTTGCAGCTATTTTGACTATTTCCTTTCTAAAATAAAATATTTCATAGGGAAATGAGTAAAAGAATGTCAACCCATTAAAAGTGACAAAATTGTTCTTCATTGATCTTGTAATAATCCCCAAACTACATCATCATTTCAAAATAAATGCAAATAAGTTGATTAAGAATATTTGTATTTGTGTCCTATCTGTTCACTGTGAGTTCTGCTTTGGACTCTGCCTTAATTTTGCATAAAGACAGAATAATTGTTACGTTTATCGCATTTTTAAATTCTAAATGACCATTTAGACAGTAGGGTTGTCATTTTTATTTCCTTGGAAGTAAAAATTATTAAATATGAAAATAATTTTTGAGAAGTAATTTAGGAAAAATGTCTTTATGGCATCTCAGATATAACTTTCCTTGATGTATTTGCTCCCTCTAGTGAATATTGCTATCTTTGCAACATTTTACAGATTTAAGGCAAGAACTAGCTGTTCGGGAAAGACAACAGGAAGTAACTAGAAAGTCAGCTCCCAGTTCTCCAACGCTGGACTGTGAAAAGATGGATTCTGCCGTCCAAGCATCACTTTCTTTGCCAGCTACCCCTGTTGGCAAAGGAACGGAGAACAGTTTTCCTTCACCGAAAGGTTTGTAATGTCTTTTCTTTCTGAACCTATGGCTGATTATCACCTAAGAGGCTTTGCTGATGAAGCAGGGGTTGCTAAGGTTTGAGCAGTCTTTTTAGTTTAAAGGTTGGTTTAGTCTAGCTCTATGTGAAACAGCAGGAATTATTTCCCTAGACCACTTAATCACATGTAGGAAACAGTGAAGTGAGAGCTACATTTAAGACAAGAACAGCTTAATAAATTGAAATTTTAAAAAGTTGAAGATCTTAAGGAAATTTGATTATAGTAACACATGTTCATGTATAAAAATATAAAAATATAAACAAGAGAAAAAGAAAATAAAATTCATCTGCAATCTTAGTGCTTAAAGTCAATTATTATTAACACTGAAGTTTTTTCTGTTGTGTGTACTTTTTTGTGTTCATGTCACTTTGTTACAAATTTTGGGATCATATTTAAATGCAGTTTTATTTCTGGCCCCTGCCACTGAACATATCATGGGAGACTAGAAGTCTTTATACATGGAAAGTACAGAGACTCATTGAGTTACCATTCAGGCTCATCTAAGTTGGCTTGGATGGACATGTCTGTTCTATGACATGCCTCAGTAGCTGCCATATTCATAGGTGAATAGTGCATAAAAATATTCCTTTTGCCATCAGTCAAGATGTTTTTTAAAATCCAGATAAGCAGAAAAACGTTTAAGTAGTCACTAGATAGAACGTTAAGAATGGAACCCTGAAACTCTGAGATTTATTTAGTTTTTGCAGCTTGCAGATCATATTTCAGCTACTTCCACTCCCCTGTACTTTCTTCTTACCCTTTTTTAAAATATAGGATTTTATCTTTCAGAGTGATATGAAGTAATTTCAGGTAGTACAGTTAGCCCTCCATATCTCCATATTTGTGCTACCCATAGCCACTCAAATGTGACTATTTAAAATTTTAAACTGAGTTTCTAATTGTGTTGGCCTTACTTCAGGTGCTCAGAAGCCCTTAAATAGATAATTCACCCTTTTTTTGTCTTTTTATGAGGGTGAGGTGAGGTGAGGTATGTAAAAGTTCTATGTAGTTTTGTTGCTGATTGTAGCAGTATGTGCTGAGTTTGCTGCTAAGAATACAGAGTAGGCAGTATATAGGCATTATATACAGCAGGCATCAGAAGCTATCAATTTTCAGAATGGCTGCTTGTATATTTGAGGACCTTAGAATTAGTGGCATATGAGAATTAGCATTTAAGATCTGTTTTTTTTTAATGTTACTAATTAAAATTATGCAGGTAAGTTCTGAAAATTCTTCAGCTAAGCCCTAATTGGAATTATCTGGAGCCTCAAGGGGGGTGTCAGTAGGACACAGAGCTTGCTCTGGCACAGAAGGAAGATATGTCAAGCCTAAGACAAGAATATTTGTCCAGAGAGACACATTTTTAGATTGGAACTGATGGCATGAACTTTCGCTGGCCTAAAAGCTGCTGTTTCATTGCAAGGAAGTTGGCACACAGACAGTGAGAAGCCAAAGGTTAGAGAAATCAGTGGCAGGATTGAAGAGCTGATCTCTATGAAGTGGTTTGGCTGTAATTGCATTTTATTGATAAAATGCCTGTTTCTGAAAACCATTTAAAACAACTTTCCATAAAAGTACAGATTTAATAATACTGAAAATATAAAATTTGAGTAGAGTAGGAAGAACAAGATCCAGAAGTCCCTGCCAAGGAAAGTATAGCACTTTGTATCACATTGGGCACCTGTTATGTGCCATGTATTACTCAGGATGCAGGGAGGAGAGTGGTTAGACAAAGTTGTGACCTTTGGGACTTCTGTGGCGGTCCAGTGACTGAGACTCTGTGCTTCCACTGCAGAAGCACAGGTTTAAATCTCTGGTCGGGGAAGTTTCATGTACTGCATGGTGTGGCCAAAAATAAATAAATGTCACATTGGGAAATATAACATATATGAGAGAAAGGATGAATATCTGTATAACTATACCATGCAAGGGTACAAGTGCTCTTTGCAGGTTGATTAAAAAAAAAGACAACTCATCAGGAAAAAGTACAGAAGATAAACAGATGACTTCCAAAAAAAGAGATTTAAATGACTCTTGGATTAAGGAGACAAAAGTTAAAGTGACTATCAAAGTGGGCACAAAGAAAAATGATGTCTAATATTATTGAGAGCACTACCATACGGACTGCTAATATTGACACAACCTAGAGAGCATTTTAGTAGGATATTAAGGTGAAAATTTGGGCATATCCTCTGACTCATCAGTTCTATTTTTAGGAACCTTTTCTCCAGAAATACTTGTCTAAGGTTATATGTTCATTTAGCATTGTTTATAATAATGAAAAATTGGATATAACCTAAATATCCTTTGGAGAATGGTTAAACGTATTTGTGGTATCTCCACTTTATACTATATCCACAGTTATAGAATATATTGATTTTTCATTGTGTATACTACTTTGTAAACTGAAACAAACCCAAATGTAAAGGAAGTTGCCAGAGTAATCGCTCGCCTCTGACCTTTCTCTAGCTATACCAAACGGTTTTGGTACCAGTCCACTGACTCCTTCAGCTAGGATATCAGCACTGAACATCGTGGGGGATCTCTTACGGAAAGTAGGGGTAAGCATTTTGTTATTTATCACTAGGTGTTTCAGCTGCCAAGGTACTGAATTGTTTCTTACCTTGACGTGAGGGTGAGGTAAAGGCTATTAAGCTTAGACGCAAGAGCATCCATTGACCACCCGAGACTGGTTCAGATAAACACCTCTGCTCAGCCTTTCCAGTGCCTCTGCAGAAGGTTGCCTTATTGAACTTCAAGTCCCTGCTGGGCCTTTGTCATGCTCGCCCTGGCTGTCTCTAAAGCATTGATGACTCCTACGTTCTCTGAAGGCCTGCTGTATGTCTTATCCCTCCCTCTAATCCTGTTCTGTGCTTTGCCTGCTGTCCTCCTGGTCATCGCCCGGCTTTCTCTTCAGAGGACTCTTGCCTTGGCTCATGGCATGACTTTCCTGCTCTTGGCCACCACCTCCCTGCTGCCTGGCCATCTCCATTCCAGTGCCATCTCCTTGGCTCTCACCTTGCATTCCAGAGCATTTTGGCTTTTGGAATATTAAACTTGGATTTCTACTTAGTTTTTTACATTGTATAATATCTACTCTTTGACCTTATTGAGAGTAGTACTTTGTTGTGATTTTTTTTTTTAAGTCATCTCTTGCTTTCACTTGGTTGCTACTTATCTATGATCCATGGGTCACTTTCTCTGTCACTGTGGACTCCTGGTCTCTCTGGTCATAGGGGAGACCTGCAGGTTGGATTAGTTGAGCAACTGGACTTCTTTCCTGCATCAAGATCATTGGAAACATTTATGTAACTTGGTAGATTTTTAAGCCACTATAAAGTTAGAATTTCTAGCATTAGTCAGTTTCCTGGTTCCCTCAGTGACTTATTTCTGTGATCAATAATCTACCCCTGAAACTTCCCATTCTCCACTGCCCTTTCACTTATTTGTGTGTGTGTGTGTGTGTGTAGCTTCAGAGAAAGCAGAAATTACATTCTACTTTATGTAAAGAAATGGGAGGCCAAGATATGCTATGTTTACCTTTTCTGGCTGGTAAAATTATTTTCTGACCATCAATAACTTTGCATTTTAAAGTTGCTGTAACAAGTCATGTGCACACATCATTCATACAGCACATAGAATAATCTTCTTTCACTCCTACCATAATCTGAAAGCAGAAATTACATTCTACTTTATGTAAAGAAATGGGAGGCCAAGATATGCTATGTTTACCTTTTCTGGCTGGTAAAATTATTTTCTGACCACCAATAACTTTGCATTTTAAAGTTGCTGTAACAAGTCATGTGCACACATCATTCATACAGCACATAGAATAATCTTCTTTCACTCCTACCATAATCTTTTTTTTTAAACCTGTTTGTTGTAAAAATTGTGTTGTAATAGCTTAACCTATTTGTTATAACCTATAATGTGAAATAATATGCTTGCTTTTCAGTGTCTTATCAACTTTAAGAAAAAAGATGAATTTAACTTCTCCTAATTTTTAAATTTTTCTTGGTTATTTTTATAACTTTATTTAAAGTCTGTCCCTTCTTGAACTCTCCCATTAGTAGTGCTGAAAATTAGTCAACAGCACCTACAATATTATGCCCACCTGTGTGTTATTTCCTGCAGAATCAGGAAAAGAGAGCTAGGCTCTCGGGACACTTTACTTACAGTACTCAACAGATGTTTCAGGCGTTTTGTTCTTTACCTGTTATTTTACTCAGAAGCATATTATTAATAGATTTTTTCCTGTGTGTGTGTCATAGCTGACATGTATGCCTTTTTAACATTTTTAAAAATTGACCATCTTTTTATTATTTTCACTGCAAAACAATTTTTACCAAATCACAATAAAATAAAAAGAAAAAAGCTCTTGGAATCCTGTCATTTCAACAGATTAAACCATTTTCATTTTTAAAACTTGCACTCAGCCTTTGTATCCATATATAACTGTGTATCAGTGGATATTTTTCTTCATGGTTCTTAGCATTTCTGATTACTTTTTTCCCTCTCGCTGTGGAGAGAAGAAGCCTGCACTTTCTTGGCTGTGTGCTGTGTCTCCCAGCTTGTTCACACTGTGCCAAGCGCTCTGATGTGCTTCTAGGGTGGCAGCACGCTGTCATCCTCGAGTTTCTCTTCCTTGTACTCGTAGGTTAGTTCTGGCTATTTATTTCTGGATCTCTGTTGTCATCTTTCTTTTGTTCCCTGTTTTGCTTTAATACCTTAAGTAATTTATTCATAAATGGTGCATGAAAGTTGAACTTGGAGTCCTGGCGTTATTTACCCATTCAGCAGACAGTTTGTCTTTTAAGGTGCCATTAGAATTTCTGCCATTCTCCACCAGCTCCTGTGTACTTTTATGAATGTTTCATCTCCTGTTTCTTTGCCCTATTTTGCCACTGACTTCACTTGGAAGCCTCGTCCCCCTCTGACATCCTCCTCCACTGAGAAATCAAGGCTATCTATTTATGCTTTGTTTTCTTCACTTTCCTTCTTTTAGTACTCTCCTCTTATTACTTGTGTTCTTCCTTTTTGTCTCAGTGAAGGTATCACATTCCTGCTCACGGCTAATTTTGTCTCTCTGTGCTTTGCGTCTCATTGCCTTGTCATCTTTATATCTCCTGTATCCTCAGCCTTTTACTATATATTTTGGTATTTATATACAGTATTTATGTATACCACATTATGTAATATATATATATATCAGTTCAGTTCAGTTGCTCTGTGGTGTCCAACTCTTTGCAACCACATGGACTGCAGCATGCCAGGCTTCCCTGTCCATCACCAACTCCTGGAGCTTGCTCAAACTCATGTCCATTGAGTTGATGATGCCATCCAGCCATCTCATCCTCTGTCGTCCCCTTTTCCTGCCTTCAATCTTTCCCAGTGTTCGGGTCTTTTCCAGTGAGTCAGTTCTTTGCATCAGGTGGCCAAAGTATTGGAGCTTCAGCTGTCATTGTTTCCACTGTTTCCCCATCTATTTGCCATGAAGTGATGGGCCCAGATGCCATGATCTTAGTTTTTTAAATGTTGAGTTTTAAGCCAGCTTTTTCACTCTCCTCTTTCACTTTCATCAAGAGGCTCTTCAGTTCCTCTTCGCTTTCTGCCATAAGGGTGTTGTCATCTGGGTACCTGAGGTTATTGATATTTCTCCCAACAATGATGATTCCAGCTTGTGCTTCATCCCGCCCGGCATTTCACATGATGTACCCTGCATACAAGTTAAATAAGCAGGATGACAGTGTACAGCCGTGATGTAGTTCTTTCCCAATTTGGAACCAGTCTTCTGTTCCATGTCCGGTTCTAACTGTTACTTCTTGAACTGCATACAGATTTCTCAGGAGGTAGGTAAGGTGATCTGGTATTCCCATCTCTTTAAGAATTCTTCACAGTTTGTTGTGATTCACACAGTCAAAGGCTTTGGTGTAGTCAATAAAGCAGTAGATGTTTTTTCTGGAACTCCCTTGCTTTTTCTGTGATCCAGTGGATGTTGGCACTTTGATCTCTGTTCCTCTGTGTAATGCGTAATATGTGCTGGATGAAGCACAAGCTGGAATCAAAATTGCCAAGAGAAATATCAGTAACCTCAGATATGCAGAAAGTGAAGACAAACTAAAGAGTCTCTTGATGAAAGTGAAAGAGGAGAGTGAAAAAGCTGGCGGGAAACAGTGGCTGACTTTTTTTTGGGGCTCCAAAATCAGTGCAGATGGTGACTGCAGCCATGAAAGTAAAAGATGCTTACTACTTAGAAGGAAAGTTATGGCCAACCTAGACAGCATAGTAAAAAGCAGAGACATTACTTTGTCAACAAAGGTCTGTCTAGTCAAGGCTTTGGTTTTTCCAGTAGTCATGTATGGATGTGAGAGTTGGACTATAAAGAAAGCTGAGTGCAGAAGAATTGATGCTTTTGAACTGTGGTTTTGGAGAACACTCTCGAGGTTCCCTTGAACTGCAAGGAGATCCAACCAGTCCATCCCAAAGGAAATCAGTCCTGAATGAATATCCATTGGAAGGGCTGATGGCTGAGTCTGAAGCTCCAATACTTTGGCCACCTGATGCAAAGAACTGACTCATTGGAAAAGACCCCGATGCTGGGAAAGATTGAAGGTGGGAGAAGGGGATGACAGAGGATAAGATGGTTGGATGGCATCACCGACTCAATGGACATGGTTTGAGTAAACTCCGGGAGTTGGTGATGGACAGGGAGGCCTGGCGTGCTGCAGTTCATGGGGTCGCAAAGAGTCGGACACGACTGAGTGACCGAAGTGAACTGAACTGAATGCGTAATATATAAATGTTAGATATAAAGTGTGTATATTTAACATTTATATATTACGCATTATACAGTTTTTTAACCTTAAAAGCAAAAATAAAAGCAGCTGTCCTTTCCTCTACCCTGTGTCTCTCTTTAACTTTCAGTTTGTCTTTCCTTTCCAGCCAAGCTTTTGAAAGCTCGTCTCCATGAATTGTTAGTATTTGTGATAGCAAACTCGCTCCCCAGCTAGCCTCGTCTGGGCTCTTGTTTCCTGCTCACTCCACTCACATTGCTCATTGATGATCTCAGTGCTGTCAAATCTAGTGAATGCTGCTCTGTCCTCGTTTTACTTGAGACGTTCAACACTGACTTTTTTTTGAAACGCCTTCTTTCCTCTGCTTTTCTGATGCTGTGTCGTGTGTGCTTCGCGTCTTCCTGCCCAAGCCTCTCTGTCATCTTGTTGGGTCTTCATCTGCCTGCCCTTTCAGTATGGACTTTACTCAGAGTTCTGACCTTAATTTTCTGATTACCTCCTTCACAGCCATGATTTCATCTCCTGCTTGGTGTGGATATTGTCTTAAATCTGATTTCTAGGCCATTGTTTTTGAGTGCCTGGCCCAGTACTTGTATTAGGTTGTCTCACTGATGCCTGGGATACAACTTGTACCTATTATATGATAGATCCTCACTTAATATCTGAATGAATGTTTTGAATATGGGAAATTAATGGCTCTCAATTTTTACTGTATGTGTCTGTTTAATAAGATGCTGAAAAAATGCTTATTTAGAGGTTATCCAACCTCTTTTCCTTCTTTTGTTGTTATTTTACTGAGTCATGATGCTACTGTTTTAGGAAAGGAGAAGAGAAGGAAGTTTCAGTCTGTTTTTGTTGCTGTTTCTTAATAGCTCTTATTGAAATTATGGGAGGAGGGTTCTCAGAATGAAATGAGTTAGCTGTGAGTTTAATTTACCAGTGCATTCCAAAATCCCTTAGTGTCAAGGATAATAGGATTGGAATGTTTTTTGCCCATTTTTTTCCTCATGGATTATAATCCCCTTCCTTCTCTCTCTCTCTCTTTTTTTGCAAGGAGAGGGGTTTGATTTGGCAAAGTGTTTGTGGGAAGGGGGAGTTGGTGATACTTGTGTGTGATGGAAATTGATGAGAAACTTCTCTTCATGTCATCTGTCGGTTTGTAGAGGTTGGCACTGGCCAGGTGTTGTGGTGATAGGTACTAAGCAGGCACTCAGTTAAGAGGTAAATGCTAAAGGGCTGGTGTCATTTTCAAATGAATTATTTAATTATAGGCAGAGGGTATAGATGTTTTACAGTGTGCTCTCAGAAGCAGAATAGAATTTAGCTTCTCATGAGGCGTTGTAAATGCACTTATCCATTCTGATATACTGGAAACTAACATGAAGTCCTAAAGAAAGAATTGTCTACTTTAAAAAGTTCTCAATTGATGTTTTTGCATTTTTTGTAATGCTTGCTTCCAAAACATATGCACAAACATGCACACACCCAACCAACCAATTAACAGCCCAGAGGTCAGAGGGAAAAACAGTGGATTAGGGCCAAGGGACCTGGGATCCATCTCTGTCTACTGTGCCACGTTTCTCTTAGTTGTAAGGTGAGGATTATATCTGTATCCCTCAATAATGCCGAGAGGGATAAATATTCTGAGTTCATTAGAAAGGGAGCCAGTGTGAATATCCCCTCTTCCTACTAGAAAGGTGATTGATAATGGCTTAAATAGCCACCATTACCAACTGTGAGAATAAAGTTTGAGTCTTGAAATAGAAATGGTTTGAAATGCAGATTTTTATGTGCAGCTACTATTTTGACAACCTAATCATTCCTTCTTCCTTTTTAGGCTTTAGAATCCAAATTAGCAGCTTGCAGGAATTTTGCAAAGGACCAAGCATCACGAAAATCCTATATTTCAGGGAATGTTAACTGTGGGGTGATGAATAGCAATGGCACGAAGTTCTCTCGATCAGGGCACACGTCTTTCTTCGACAAAGGGTAAGTTTTGGAAACTCTAAATGTTAATTTTTGGGTTAGTGAAGTTGCGTATTATTAAGTGAGTTTATTGAACTTTGAAAAGATAAACTCAGTTTGATAAATCTACCTGAATGAAGTGTTATCATTCAGATCTTAGGGGATGTGAAGTCTGTTACTGTCTTCTAGTCCCCATGGAGTCTGTTGCCCTGGGCACCCTGACTCTGAAGCTTCTATCCTGGGAAGCAGACTCTTGAAAGGCAGCCAGGGATTAAAGATGAATGTGATATAGTCCTTGTGTTTGCTCAAGGTGATTGCAGAATGGTAGACTCTTGGCAAATATTTGCTAAGAGTAGAAGAGAACATGGTGATCACGTTATGTGTGAACTCTTCAACAAACCTTCTGTCTGAGGATTTTAGAAAAATATAAGACCACTGGATACAAGTACAGTTTAGGACATAAAAAGTTTTGTAGGATGTGAAGATATTTTTTGGGGAATTGAGAATTAAAAAGTTGTCATAAGATTAAAGCAGCAATACATTATTAATGCAGAAAAATTTTTGGTGCGGAATATATAAAGTAAAAATACATGTCATCTGTTTTCATACTATTTTCGCATCTTTACAGTTATTCATGCATTCATCTATATAGTTAAGCACGTAAAATCATCTTTTGCATCTGCTCTGCTTTTAAAAACTTATGAGATACCTTAAATACTGCTTGCAGCATGCCTGTGGTGACTGATACTGCCAGTAGCTTTCTGTGTCAGTACATATTGTTCTACTACAATTAAGGAAAAAGAAAACAAACCCACAAAACACTGCATGGTTATACTGTTGTATGGGTGTTCCTTAGTCTAGGTAACTGGTTAGAGCCTGTGGTCTTGAATGTTGACCTTGTGACTTAAGGTGGCTGACAGTGGAATTAGCAGCTGAGGCACCAGTGGTCTGTGTCTTTGCTTTGAGTTAGAGGGGCCGCAGGTCCTTGTTCTGTGAAAGCAATATAGAAATCTTAATAGTTTCTTAAAGGAACTTATATTTTCTGTTTTCCTCAGTGACAGTGGTACATTTGTAGAGAACCTGATTTTTTTTTAAAATTTATTTTATATTGGACTATAGCTGATTAACAATGTTGTGATAGTTTTAGGTGGACAGCAAAGGGACTGCACCAAACATATACATACGTCCATTCTCCCCCAGTGGAGGACCTGATTTGATAAGTAGTCCACTCTATAAAGGTTTTTGTTGTTCGTCCTTGTAAAGTGGAGTATTCTGGTTTCTCTCTCTCCCTCAATAATTCTACCTCAAAGTACGTGTATTTCATTAGGGAGCACATTCTCAGATAATATATAAATCAGGGCTTTCTTTACACACATTTCATTAAAAGCCCATTCTATAATGTCAACACACATATAAATCAGAACTTTATTTTAACCGTTGGGGCTCCCCAGTAGTGGTAGGAATAAAATTAATATTCCTTAGGTTTAGGAGTTTCAGGCAACCTTGAGGAGTGCCATTTTTATACTATAATGGTAAGTGTGAAATTAGAAGGTAGATATATTTACATTAGAGGTGGCATTTCCCCAGAACAATACAGGGAAAGTTTAAGGAAGTCTTCATGAGTGTTGGAAATAGTGCCTAATGGTTTTTCCTGGAGCTTATAACTACTTCATCTGTCAGTTATATTTCTTAATGGGCCTTGGGTCCCTTGTGATGTGAGAACAGGCAAAACCGTAAATAGATTGGTCCAGCAGATGCCTTTGCAAAAATATAGTCCTTAGAACAGTCATGACGAAGGAGGTATAATATCATCAGTTCAGGCTCACCATTCTGTCTTCTTACCAGGGCAGCGATTGCGCAGAGAGGAACCTTGTCTAGGCAGATGGCAGAGGATTCAGGGTCACCTGAAACCATGAGGGGCCCTGGGCACTGTGACAGAGCCCCTGTCCCCTGAGGAGATCCTAGGTATAGGATAGGCTTTGTGTCCTGAACTGAACCTAGAAATATGCTTCTTCATAGAAGTAGTTACAGATGATGATTAGGATTGTGGAGGACCTGATTAAATAGTACAGAGTTTTAATTTTATTCTTTCTATTAAGAATAAATATTTTTTGTGGACTGGCCTTTTCTTAAGTGTTGAGTTTGTATGGTAAACAGATGGCACACGCACACTCAAATATGAACCTATTGTTGCCCAAGTTGTGTGTATCTAGTTGCCATTTTCCTGAGGATAACTCTTGGGTGGGTTTTGCAGTGTTCTTACTTCCTTGATGCTTTGCTTTGATTCTGGCTTCCTTTTGGCCGGCCTGGCTTTTTACCTCTGGCCTTCCTTCCTGCTGACCTAGCGACTAGATAAAAACCATGATGGCTTATACCTGTTGCAAAAGGAAGGGGTAAATATCCCCACTCCCAACTCCATTATTGCATCTGACTGGTTGAAAGAAAAAGTGCCAGTTCTGGTAAAAGCGTAGCTTGTAGTTTCAGCTTGAGAAGAAGCTTCCATTGGAGGAAAAGCCTTTGGCTCCGGAAGTTGCCTGGCATGCCTTTCACTCCTAAGGAGTCTGTGGCACTGTTAACTGTAGTTTTCCTGACGCTCCTAGGAGCCCACAGAAGCATTGTTTGGGAGAGTTGGTTTGCATGAGTGTGCAAGTATGTGAGTGTACGTGTATGCACTGTGCCCTCCTGCCTCCCACAGAATCCTCAGGTGGGTGAGTCTTGGCCACATAAACATAAAGCTGCCTTGTTATATATTGCTTTATGGGTTCTGAAAATATTATATAAGTTCTGCTTAGTGGAGGGCTTCTTGGAGTCACGATTTTGTCTAGTCTGTGTTCATGTCACCAGTTCCTAAAATGTGGGTCGCTGGGCCTGTTTCTCCCTGTGTTGCTCTGCTTCTTCCAACCTGTACCAGCTCTTCACATCACTCATCCATAAAGACACTAGTTCACAGGTAGCACAGCTACTTGAGTTCCCCCCAAAATGTTCATTTTCCTCCGTAGCTTTTATTTAGTTTCTTATATGCCCTAATTTTGTAAGCTAGCGTGATTTCTTTCAGGTTGTGTGTAGGCGAGCATAGACTAATTTTAGGGCATAATGTGAAAATAGTATTGTATTACTGTTTAATGTTTTTTCCTTTTTTTATTAGGCAAGAAAAAGTCATATTTCCCACGTTGTTCATGGGTAACTGAATTTCTTTGCTGTGCTTTTTCATTCTTAATCATGGTGTGTGGTGGAAGACGCATACACATTAACAGACCGGGTTTACTAACTGCATGGTGCTGACTCTGCTTTAACCAGCTTCCAGCCCATGAGTGAACGAACGTTCAAGTTCTTGTTTGGTTTGACTGTGTACATTATTATTAGTTTAGCTGTGCAAACAAAAACAAGTGAATGGTAGTGGTCTTGGGGCGGTTGTCAATGGGCTGATGTACTCCTGTACAGGGTGCTGTAGAGAGGATGCCAGCAGTCTGGGGTGGGGGTCAGGGTCACTGCCAGGCTCTGGGACCACATTTGACTGCCTCCATGGACCTGGGGTGCTTCCTGTTATCCCATGTCTTCTGTTTTCTCAGCACTGGTGATAGTGGATTCTTGCTGTGTGGGGCCTCTCCTTTGTGCTCATGCTTTTCCCCGGGACAGTGGAGTGGTAGCTGGGGACACGTGTGTAAAATCTACCTTCCTTTTGAGGAATGTATGTTTCAGTCTGCAGAGCCTGGGCTGAGGACTGGAGCTGCGCTGGGCTTCCATTTCTCCTAACTGGATGGACGGGTCTGGAGTGTGCCTGTCTGCTCTCCTGAACTAGCTGTAGCGCCTCTGTTCCTTGTCTTTCCTGCCCTCTCAGGTGAACTGTCCTTGCTCTGGCAGATTTAGTCCCCGGGCTTTATCTATATTGTGTTAATTTTATTGTCCTCCCAACTAGCTACTAAACCCTTCTTTCAGTTCTTCTGTTGCCATTTACATCTGACCTTCATTCCGTGTCCTAGCTGGATTTTCTATTTTTCAGACTCTTAAACTAGATTTTTGTGGTAAGATCATGAAATTTCATAGCTTCTGGAACTCTTTTTACATAGATCATTCCCAGATCTGTATCTCCATCCTTGCCCATTCTTTCTCGTTCGGTCTTGTGTTGTCCACTGGGACATTTCCCTTCGGCTTTTTTGCTGCTCCTTGAGACCAAATGTGGTGAGTATGGAGGTGTTTCTTCTCTCAGAAACCTTTCCTCATTGCATACTTTGCACTTCCCTCAAGGGACTTCAGACCGAGAATTCTCCCTCTGGGTTCAGCTTCCTGCTGGCCTTTTACTTACTGCTTCTTGACGCAGAGAAGGCCCTAGGGAGGACCCTGCGGGATTGTTCTCTCTCCACCCAGCTTTCAAAGTCAGAATATTTCCAGCCACATAGAGAAGCTACTTACTTAGTTTCTTGGTTTCTTTTCATATTTTGGATATGTGTATTTTTCCTATTAGAGCTGACCTGCATTGGGAGCACCAAGTTGGTTGCTCTTGGAGCTTCTCAGGTGTCCTTGGGTGGGAGGAGGCAGGAAAAGGATGCTGGCCTGGGTATGTGGAGGCGGGTTGTGGGCCCAGGTCCCCAGTGACAGGCTCATGGGGTGAACTTGGTGAACAGTGGACCTTCTGCTTTTATTTCCTTGGCAGTATAACAGTGAGGATGAACTTGACATTCCTTAAAGGTCCATTGCGCTTGAAAATGCAGAAATCTCAGTTCTAAGCCTACATGTGGAGCCATCCTCAAATTTGTTGCTTTTGCCTGCCCTGTGGAACAGAGAGGTTCTTCTCGGCACCCAGCAGTGCTTCCTTCTGCCGAGTTTTGGGGGTTGTCTCTAGCCCTGCCTGCTGCTGTGCTCTGACAGGCTGGGAATCTGATGGTCAGTGTTCAGGGTTGAAGCTCTTTGTGAGGCTGCCTAGTTCTCCCTGAGGTTCTAGGAGAGGCAGGCTCAGGGACCAGGCAGACATGGCTGCTTCTGTGAGCGCAATAATGGCATATAGAGTCTCTGTCCTCAGGCACAGGCATTTAGTCTTGGGAGGATGGAGAGGGATGATTTCAATTTCAAATGTGATGAAGCTCAGAGATCAGACCTCCCCAGCCCAAAGAGATAAGAGAAAATTCTGAGTGTGCATTGCTGAGGTGGGGAGAGAGAACCCTTGTCAGAGCCCCTCCCATTGCTCTTGGCCTGTGTGGGAGGCTTGATTTCTAGCTCGAAATCTACACTCAGGTTAGTTTCTTCAGAGTAGTCAAGGGTCATTAGTCCAATCTCTTTTCATGCCTGTTTCTCCATGAGATTATCCTCACCTCCACAGTGTATGAAACTGTCATCTTCGTGGAGAATATGTGTCTGTGTTTTGTTTAAGAGAATCTCTGTCCATGAGTCTATATTCAACTCCCTGGGCCCCTCAGATGAGTAGGCCAGTGCGGACAGTGGTGGGCACGTGTGGGGCAGTCCGGCCCCTTGCTGTTGGCTGCATCTCCCAGGCTGTGAATGAGACCCATTTCCCTAGGAAGTTTTTCAGTACGGAAGGGCTGCAGTGGCTTCCTGAGAGGGGTTCCAGGCCTTGCACTCACTCCCTCACTCCTTCCTGCGGCTGCACTGCCGGGGGTGGGGCAGGGTCCTGGCTGCGGGCACTTGTGTGGGCAGGGCTGGTGTCTCCGAGCCTGCAGAGAAGCCTCCCCATCTGGCTTGCTTGCTGAACCATCTAAAAAAGTTATTTTTCTCCCCCTTACTTAAGATATTCATGTACATTGTAGGAGATTTGGAAAACAAAGAAAGTACAAAGTAGTAGATAAAATTTACCTACAACTCAGAGGGAAGAAAAGTAACTACTGTTAAATTTTCCTTTTATGATATATGTGAGTGTGTGTGTATGTGTGTGTCTGCATCCTCAAACATGCTAGATTTAGCTCTGTGGATAGCAATGTCTAGCTATATAAGGGGTTATAGCCCAGAATGTATGCTGTTAATTTTTTTCTTCATATTGTTGAGCATATCCAGTTTGGTAACCTGATGCTTTTTACACCTAGCATTAATTGCATTTGGAATATTTTTCATGCTGTTAAGTACTCTGAAATGTATTTTTAAGGGCCGTGTAATATTTCACTGTTTGGTTGTACCCTTTTTAGCTGGTTCCCTACTGGTAGACATTTAACCTGCTCTGTTGGGAAGTGAGTCAGGGCTGCGGCCACCATGGCCAGTGTGATAAGGTTGCCAAGAAGAGAGTCATCCCATTGCTGGGGGACTGCGGGGTGCTTGACACCACCCTCTCCTTTGGGCCATCAGGATTCTCCTTGGGGCCAGGAAGAGGAATAGTTGAAGAGAGCAGATGAATTATGCTGCGTGTCGAGTGATTTTAAATGACAGTCTCTTTCTCTTCCCCTCCCCTTCTCTGCTCTGGTCACCCCCGCAGGGCAGTAAACGGCTTTGACCCGGCTCCTCCTCCTCCTGGTCTGGGCTCCTCGCGCCCGTCGTCAGCACCGGGTATGCTGCCGCTCAGTGTGTGAGTGCCCGGCCTCCAGGTGGGGGCTCCTGCCCCCCTCCAAGCACCAGGACACCCACGCCTCACCCCTCGGTGCCTGGGCCCAGCTCGTGCCCCTCCGCCTGCCTCCCCACGGCTGGCAGAGGGCAGGCTGCATGCAGTGGCGGCTGCTGGGCTCGGTCTGGCCCCAGGACTCTGCGCGATATCAATACTGGCTATTTTTTCTCTTCTCGCAGTAGTGCCGTTGGTTTCACATGATTGCACTTTTGTGGGTCACAAGGTGATACATGCGTGTATTACTCGGTCACTGGATGCAGAAGTACCCATTCATCATAGCATCTCCTAGCCCCGCCCTGCTGTACTGATAGGATTTAGTTGTGTTTAGGACATTGCAGATCTTCTAGAAGTTCTTCCCCAAATCAGGTCAGCTTGTGGTCTCCTCCTGAGCTCCCAGCCAAGCGCCTCCAGTGCTGATGATCATGTGTCCCCCTTCCCCCCGGGTTGGGCCTGTGGCTGGTGGAGAGTCAGGAAGGCCACTGAACTAGGGAGCATTTTCTGCACCTTCTGGTTTTACTTTCTCAGTTACCATTCCGTAGACTTGCCTCCCCGAGCAGCCAAAGGCCCAGCTGAGATGGCAGGAGCTTTAGGGCCTGGGTGCTCTCAGGGCTAGGCCCTGCCGTCTCCTCCTCCACTGCCTCAAACTTGGGGGCGGGGGTGGCGGCTGCCCCCTCGGCAGCTCTCTGGTCCTTCAGTGAAATGACATCTTCAGAGTGCTTTTGTTTGGTCTCCAGAGGGCCTGTCCTGTTGTGTCAGGAAGGGTTGCCTGGCCTGATTCCGGGGGCCGGCTGGCGCCAGCTCCAGGGGGCAAACTGACCATGAGTGGTCCTCCCTGTGCATCCTTTGATTACTCTCATGCTGCATTTACTGTTTACATTTGTTTTATTGTACATAGGTTTGTAAACATTATTGCCTAAGATATTTGTATATAACTTGGGCTTTGTAGCTTTTATTTATTCAGAACTCATATGGCATGTTAAAGACTTATGATGGTGTCCTACTCCGGGCAGCTGTATAGAGTCATCATGTGGTTAAAAAAAATACTTCCCTTCGAAAAAATCTTTTAATGTGGAAACAATAAATTTCACAGAAAAAAATAAAAGGATTGAGGTTGCTTTATTGGGTTTCTGCCATCCTGCGAGAGAAGAGCCGGAGTGGCAAAGCCAGTTTGAAGTTCACGCCCATTCTGACACGGGACACAGGATGGACAGCAGCCATGGAACCGGGCATAGAAAATTCTGGCGGCCTCGGGATGTGTCTAATGTGCTGAGCGGATGTCTTCATGCTGATTTTTATCCTTTTTTTTTAAATTGAAGTATGGTCCAATTTTACACAAATTACAGGTATACAGTATTGTGGTTCACAGTTTTTAAAGGTTATATTTCATTAATAGTTACTGTAGAATACAGGCTATATTCCCTGTGTTGTACAATATATCCTTGTGGCTAATTTATTCCTCAGGATGACTCTGGGTTCTGGTTTCTGCTCTTAGCTGTGATTTCCAGGAGCAGCCTGAGAATGGCCCCAGCCCTGTGCGGACCTCTGGGAGGAAGGGCCTGGACTTTGAAGGAGATGACTTGCTAAGTCCTGGAGTAACTGCAGTGGGTCCAGGAGACTGGTCCTCTTGTTGGGCTGCCTTTCACACAGTTGGTATTCTGGGATCAGAGGTTACTTGGGTCTGGGCTTCTCTCCTCATCCCTTGATGGAATTTGAGGAACAAGTAAACTCTGGGGGTCTGTATGACTGTGTCAGATTCTGAGCTCTGTTTATAGCAAAGAGCATAAACAGAATAGTTTTTGTCATTTTTAAACTATATGTAAATGAAAACTAAGTGATTCAAGTTTCTAAGTGAATAAACATTGAGGTGTAGGATACATTAAAATTTTTTTCTTCTGTCTGTCAGTTCGCCGGCAGGAACTGAGTTGTTCCTGAGTTGTTCCTGGAGATTTCGTCATAAGCTGACCCACGAGAGATGCTTGCTCTTATGTGTGTGTGTGCTCTGCCCAGCCCTGCTGGCTGAGAGTTGAGAACTTCAAGCCTCTCACCAATGAGCAGTCTCCCAGCTTCTCTCCCGGCCATCATGGAAGAGTTGGATGAGGTCAGAGGTGTCAGAACTCTGTCTCTATGCAGGAGCCCCACATCTAAAGCACACACACAGAGCTGCTCTAGTTAAAGCGAAGATGAGTTCTGGAGCTTGAATCCTTGTCCCTGGCTCCCCAGCAATGTCTCAGTTCCTCCCCAGCTGTGGACTCCTGGGATCATCTCACCAGATGGCTGTCAGCTGTTACTCAGGCAGCGGCTGGGAGTGGGGCCTGTGTGTTGTTCTCTGATGTCACCACTTTTGCTTTGGGTCCAGGAGAGTACAGGCCAGGTCTGTGAAGGCATGGTGGAGTAGGCTGCCTGGCTCACTTTGTGGGGGTGGAGTGGGAACTCCCTTGAAGTTCTGGTTTTGTTACAACTGCAGCACCTTTGGCATATGACCCCCTGAAGAAGCTGCTTGATTCCCTGGGCTTCTTTCAGCTTTCCAGGTCTTCCTCCACTTATAGTAGGACAGTGTTCTGATAAATCCATTCATTGTAAATTGAAAATGCATATACTACATCTAACCCCTTGACCATCACAGCTTAGCCCTCTCTACCTTAAACATGTTTAGAACATTTAAATTAGCCTACAATTGGGCAAAATCATCTAATACAAAGCCTGTTTGATCATAAAGTGTTGGCTGTCATATATAATTGAATACTGTACTGAAAGTGAAAAATGCAACGGTCATCTGGGTGCACAATGGCTGTCATCATATCTATCATGTGACTGACTGGGAACTGCCCGGCCAGTGTTGTGCGAGAGGATCGCACTGTGTATTGCTAGCCTGGGAGAAGATGAAAATCTAAAATTTAAAGTGTGGTTTCTATTGAGTGTTTTGCTTTTGCATCATGGTAGAGTAAAAAAAATCTTTAAGTCAGACCATTGTAAGTCAGTGACCATTTGTATCTGGCTCACGATGCTGCTTTGTACACGCTCACATAGAGCCTTTGCTTCCTAGTCTGAAAGATCTGCGTATTATTTGCCTATCTACTTAATCTTCTCTGAGTGGGCCCTCCTCCTAGCGCTGCACATTGCCAGTGTGTGCAGCTCTCACAGAAACCTTCAGGAATGAGCCCTCCCACGGGCTGGTTCCATGTGGTGGTCTCCCCCTCGTGGGCGTGGAGGGGCTGAGCTTCCCGGTGGCCAAGGACAGCTTCTTGCCTCTAGGTATTTTCATCTCACAACTCACTCCCATCCCTTGTTCCTGACACGTCATCGTCCTGCTAGGTGCCAGAGCTGGGGTGTGGAGTCACCAGTGAGGCAAGGGAGAGCTATATACTGTGACCCGGGAGCGGGATGAGCTGGTTTTCCCTCAGTTTGCAGAAGGGAAAGCGGGCCCAGGGTTTAGGTGACTGGCCTGAGCTCACACAGCTGGTTCATGGGAAAGCCAGGTTTGGAAAGGGGCCCAGTGTCCTTTTCTGCTATGTTTACCACTTCATCAGACTGGAGGCTTCGCTGGTCTTGACTCTGACTTGTGTCTCAGGAGGTGAGCTGATTCTGAACGCTTGGAAGTGATACTCGAGGGGGCGGCAGCAGGAGCACAGTGGCTCATGGCTCATCCACACGCCTCCTCTCTCCGTGTCAGTTGGCGTTGGCTTTGTTTCTCTCAGAGGCTGCCTTGGAGCTGCCATTAGCATCTTCTGAGAGCCACGGTGGAAGCTGGCACTTCTGGGGAAGGGACCATGAGGACGTGACCTTGGGTGGAGCAGTGGCTTCGGAGACAGCCTGTAGCCAGGGAGTATCCAGGCTGGCCTCTGGTGGGAACAGGGCCTGAGGGAGATGGGCCCAGGCTGTCAGTTGTCCGCATTGTTTGCACAGAGGATGCTAAGATTAGTCTTTTCTATGTTCTTTTACTTCATGGATTGTTTTTCTCTATTTGCCTCAAAATTTGAAGCAAATTGAGAGCACTAGCTTGGCCTTTAAAATATAAATGTGTTACTTGATTTTTAAAAAAAAATGAGAGCGGAGGCAGGAGGCATCTTTGCAAATCATGTTCCTGTGACAGAGCATCTTATCTGAAAACAGGTCCCGTGGCTATTAAAAATATGATACACGGGGATGTGTGTGTGTGTTAGTCGCTCAGTTGTGTCCTACTCTTTGAGATCCATGGACTGTAGCCCACCAGGCTCCTCTGTCCATGGGATTCTCCAGGCAAGAAATACAGTAGCCCTTAAATTTTTTTTTATTTTATAATTTTATTTTTGGCTGTGCTGGGTCTTTGTTGCTGCTCATGAACTTTTCTCTAGTTGGTGAGCGGGGCTACTCTTCATTGTGGTGCATGAGCTCTAGGGCGTGCAGGCTTTAGTAGTTGCGGCACGTGGCTCAGTAGTTGCAGCTCCCACTCTCTAGAGCACAGGCTCAGTAGTTATTGTACATGGGCTTAGTTTCTCTGCAGCATGTGGGATCCTCCCAGATCAGGGATCGAACTTATGTCTCCTCCATTGGCAGGCAGAGTGTTTACCACCGAGCCACCATGGAAGCCCCTTTTTTTGACTTTAAGGAGGAAAAGTCTCTAGTAATATTAATGTAACAGGCTTCTTATGTAAGATAGCGCACGTGAAGAGGCCAGTTTGAAAACAGGACAAAGCTTATGGTGTTGGTGTTATGCACATGGGGTAATGCTTTACTCTGCCACCCGCCTGCACCCACGAGAGTTAGTGTTTCCTGTCAGCTCTGAAGTCTTCACCAAGGGAAGCTGAACAGATGTTTCACTTGTTCACTTGTGGGGTGTTTTCAGTTTTGCTGCCTCTGTTAACATAGGGGAGATCCTGCCTGGATCATGGTTTGCAGGCGGAGGTCTGGGATAAGGGTGCTGGGCTGGCAGGCCTGGGCAGGTTTTCTGGCACATGCCTGGATCAGCAGTGATGTCATGTGAGGCTCAGAGCCTAAATTACCCTCTGTAAGTCTTGAATCAATCTGACAATGTGACAAGCTGTAACAACTTCTCGACTGTGGTAGTAAGAACAAAGTCAGTCTCTGTAGCCCTAATACAAACGTCTGCTGGTGGGGGAATGGAGTGGTTAGGATAACCGTTCAGCTGGACAAGCAACCATGGAGCCACTGACCTGTCAGTCTGCGGTCGTGCTTATTCATGCATCAATAAGTAAAGGACACAAAATCGATGAACACGCAATTGCAGCTTTCTAAAACAGAAGTGAAGTGAAAAGACGGACTAGTTTTACTATGTAGATTCTAAATTTTCCTGTTAAGTGGCCCAGATTTTTAAAAAATTGAAGTCATAAGACTGAATTTCTTTCACTGGAGACGTGCTAGGAGTTGTGAAATCTGAGTAAGCAGCACAAAGCAGGGGCTCCCTGGACCTGCCAGGTGACTGGGCTGAGGCCTCCAAGGGGAAATTTGACCACTCAGATGCCCGCAGGCTCCACCCCAGAACTGCCTAGTGAGGAGAGTTCTGAATTTCATGGACGCTGAAGTGCCAGCAATTATAAGACACACCTTTATTTTGTGAAGTAGTAGGAAAAGTGTGCAGTTGTAAGTGTGTAATTGAAAATGCTTAAGACTTTGTATTTATGTTTGGCTGTACTTTGTTGTTGCATGGGGTTTCTTCAGTTGTGGAGCGTGGGCTTCTCATTATGGTGGCTTCCCTTGTTGCAGAGCATGGGCTGTAGAACTCAGGTTTCAGTAGGGGCTTTGCGGCTCCACGGCATGTGGAATCTTCCTGGATCAGGGATCAAACCCATTGTTTCCTACATTGGCAGGCGGATTCTTATCCACTGAGCTGCTGGCAAAGCCCCAAGACTTTGTATTTATTTAAAGACTTCTTTATGCAGATTTTCATCATATCACACTTATTTAATTCATGTACAAAAAGGAAAATGAGACATATTCCTAGACTTCACATTGTAATTCTGATGTTCTGAATTGTGTCTTGACCCGAGTGGTCCTTGTCTATGTTTTCCTGAGCAATGTTGTCCTCTGTGGCATGGTGAGCACTGACCGTGCAGCTCTGCTCCGCTGCAGGCTCCAGAACTTTCTTCGAAGCTGCTGATACTCTCACTACAAGATCTGATGCTGGGCTTTAATGACCTCACCAGGAGTCAGGCAATTACAACCACATGACAGCTGCCACTTCCTGAAGGTGATTGTGGGGTGCCTGAGTTTACACAGGTGAGAACAGGAGCATCTCAGCTTCCGTATGGTATGGTCCTTGATAGAGGCAGCAGTCTGCTCGGATGTCCCAGTCAGATCCAGTGTTTAATAGTCTGATTATGACACATTACATCTTGAGTAAGTTTCATGACATCCAGTTAGTGGGCATGGAGTCTATTATTGGGCTTCTTTGAAAAAATAAACAGGCCTCACTGCTGTAATGCATCAAACGTGAGTTTGTAGTCTTGGTTTAAGGCTTGGGGACATGATCATACTTTGTACATGTGGTACACATACACTGTAATTATAGTAATCATATTTTGTGCATATGATACATGGATGCTGTAATTATAATAATCATACTTTGTGCATGTGATACATGGATGCTGTAATTACAGTAATCATACTTTGTGCATGTGATACATGGATGCTGTAATTATGGTAATCATACTTTATGCATGTACATGGACACTGTAATTACGGTAATCATGCTTTGCGCATGTGGTACACGGTGCTGTAATTAGGGTTAACATTCTTTGGAAACTGGTATTATCATGTCAATATACCCTTATCGATAAGTTTCATATTACATTTCTGAAAAGGGTTGTATGAGACATTTCACATGATTTGCTAGATTCCCAAATGACAGGTGGCTACACAAGGAGGTAGACTGCCTGGTTGGTCCTGATGGTGCACAGATGCAGCATTTCAGCAAAAGCTCAGAATTTGGGAAAGCTCTCGGGGCCGGGACTGGGAAACCTCTGTGGATGGGGACTCCCCTCAGCTCTCAGCCATGGGCTTCCCTCAGGCCTGCCTGCCTGAACTAGGGTGCAAGGCTCTATTGTGTCCACTTTCTAGATTCCAACCCATGGGCTGTTGTGATTTTTTTTTTTTTTTTAGGGTGGAGCAGGAAGTGGTGGTTCCGAGTCTGAGCTGTGAGCTCTTCCTGTCTTGATAAAACATGTCTGTTGTCATAGCAACGTTTGGAGCAGGAAGTGGTGGTTCCGAGTCTGAGCTGTGAGCTCTTCCTGTCTTGATAAACATGTCTGTTGTCATAGCAACGTTGGCTTCAGGAGGAAATGGACATGAGTCAATGATACCCAGAGCCATAGGGAAGGCTGGTTGTTAAGAATTTGGTTTCCACCTCGTTTCATCTTAGTTGAGGTTTCCAGGGAGGGGGAAGAAGGTTGGTGAGAGAAACCGTGCTCATCTTCCTGATGTCAGCATGCCTAGGATAGGCAGGCTGGGAACAGGTATATTATTTCTACTAAAGTAAGAGTCTTCTAGAATGTCTGCATTCTAGGCAAGGGCAGACAGAGCATTTAGTGTATGTGACCAAGTTAAAATCCTAAGAGAGCTCATCTAGACTGCATTCCACAAAAGGCTAAGACTTCTCCATGCATTCTGGAACCCCTCCTCACATTGGACCATGTGCCCGTGGGTGGGCGCTGGCCAGCTGCTTTGACTTTGACATGCCCAGAGCCCAGCTCCCAGCTATAGTGTAAGTGTTTCATGAACCACCTCAGACTATGAAGCAGTGGTTTGTTTAGTGAAGAAAGGTCCCGTCTAGTTAGCGTCTTTGTGGAATCAGGAATTGGAATCTGTTCATGTAGGTCCTGTTTCTCCTGACCGGCTGAGTAGGTGGGAAACAGTATGACGTGAACAACAGTTAAACCAGCTAGCAGGGAAGGAGTTTTTCACAAAAGCCTCTGAATTCCACAAACCCTTGGACTGAGACACCAAAAGCAAGGGTGAGAACGCATATGA